AATTGAAATTCGTAAATAACTTTTGATTCACATAAGGGTTCTTCTTTGCAAAGGATCTTTTATTAAATTTATTAAATCGTAAACAATTTCCCTTTGAATATGTAATTTTTTAAATAAATAAATAAATTTTTTGCTCAATGCAGCGAATAAAATAAAGATATTGATACAATAATAATATGACTGGCTGATGTTGATGCTCCGAACGAATATATAGATACCTCGCATTTGAATGTAACGTGTAAAGTCAAATCGTACATAAAGCGCCATTTCGGCACTACGTATCTTGATCCTCGAATTAAAACGCAATGTAAAAAGCAAAACCCATACACCGTTTTTTGCGATTTTTTGATCCACAAGTGGAGGTAGCAGGTCTATTTATATTTTTTTTTGTAATTTATTAGACTACCCGATCAATGTACCATCTGACCATGAAATAGTCTATTTTTATTAAAGATTGTATCATTGATCATGAATACATGATAGGATGCTAAGATACTTTGCATCCGGTGCTAATTTTGATGATCCGAACGAATACATATGTAAGTGATTGAGTCATATGATTTTATAATACTATGACATCAGTAAATACCATCACACTATAATTTGTATTTCATGAAACTTATCGTCACGTTTTCGTTTTTTAGCGGATGATGTGTACAAACAAATTTTTTGCATAGTTTATTTGCCTTTATTATTAAAGTTCTCTCTAATTGGATTAATTGATAAGGATGTAAATTTAAAGATCAACATCATCACCACACTCTAGTGATCAATTTTATCGTAATTCAACAATAAAAGAACTTTGGCATTCTTTGAAGATTTAAAAATGATAGAAATAGAAATCAAAATCAAAAATTACAAAAATATGTACCAAAACCTGACTTAAGGGTCGTTCTAAGTACCAGTATTGATCCGCCTGTGTTGCTTTAAACTCAAACGCTAAAATCAGCCCAAACACGTCATTTAATATTATTACATGTTGTTATTATACGTAGTTAACTCCAAAGTCAAAAAAATCAATTTAGCACAACTCACATTTATGTAAAGACAATTTGATTATATGAAATTCAATAATAAAAGAATAGTTTTAATTTGTAAAAAGAAGAGGTATTTTTATTTTGAACGTAAAAACCAAGTAGTTTAATTAAGTAAAATTTCTAATTCAAATCATTTAAATTATAAAATTTGTAAATTTCCCATGTTTATTATTATTATTCTTGCATCATTGCAATATACATACAATGATATAATGATTCTTTATTACATATTTGGAGCTTTTGATAATCCTATTTATCATTATCATTATTTCTGTTTGTATCAAGCGTTTTCACTTACGTTTTTAATTATATCAAGTGGTTTTACTTATGTCAAGGGCTTTTACTTTAGTCAAATCGTCAAAATAACACTGGTGAAAACTACCTTTAGTCAATACTTTAATTACGTCAATGACTAAAGTCAAAAGTTTCGTTATACATCATTAGTTGTTAGCCAATTGATACTACAGATATCAGAACTTCAAAGCTATATTAATATATATATTTGATGGTGCCTTGTTACATTTTTACCCATTCAGTATAATAAGATCCTAAAATTTTCAACTGCGATCAAATTATGAATTTTAACTTTATCTGTTATTTTTATGATACAACAATTTGAATTTAATTTTTCATCATCATCTGATAAACAAATGTACATTTCTTTGTAATAAATTATACCAAAAATATTATTTTTAATATTTTCTGACTAATTTAATCTCCACTATAAATTTATTTTAGTGTTCCATGTCGCAATCCAAAAAGGAAACAAAGGTGGTTGCAACCAGCGGTTGCAATCATTTTTATATGACGCAAAGATGGTAGCAAAAGTTGCAGCCGATATCTTTAATTCATTTATTATCTTTTTATTTTATCTTTATTTTGTTTTTTAAAGCTAAATTATAACAACAATAAAACTTTTCACAATTTTCTGATTCTTATTAAGCTCAAAGGCTTCTATAAAGCTCGTCTTATTTACTTGTGACTGACTTATTTCAGCTGTTTGCCCTTTGATTTTAATCAACATATTTTTGTAATTTGATACCGATTTAAAAAATCAATTATCAGAATATAGTTTCTGTCATTACGTTGTGAAATCAAAACTCGTTAAAAGTTTTTATTTATATATCATCAGAAAAATAAATCTTACATAAACCTACGTAGGGTTCAGAATGGCCAGCATTATGTCGATATTTTGGTAATTCTATTAACATTTCCGCATAATGCTGGTCAGTTTTAAACCCTGCGTAGGTTTATGTAAGATTTATTTTCCTGATGATAATAATGTAGTTTGACTATGAATTGTACTTGTTAAAAAAAAACATTTAAATTATTTGTTATATAATAATAAAATAGATAACGAAATAAATAGAAATGAATAAATAAATCAACTATTTAATAAAAAACATATGCATTGTTGATTACTATGGAACTAAATACTATTTATCGCGCGATTTTTTAAAAAAATGAAATTTACTATGGATAATTTGGTATACAATTTTTTCCCTCATCGTCACAACAACCACAAGTGCATGTCTGGGTATTCTGGTTAAAGACGCACACCTCAATTCCTGCAATAAATATGTTAATTTTTTTAAATGAGTAAGTAAGTTTTAAATTATAATTTACTTGAAAATATCATTATCTTTAATAGAATAACAATTACCGCCACAAGGAGGCGGTGGATGAGGACAATTTTCAGATAAAGCGGTTGGTACTAAAGCACTGACAGATATAAACATAATTAACAAGATGGTTATTTTTGAGTTCATTGTTTATTATTTTTTAGTTTGAATTTTTTTGAATTTAGAAAATTAAAAATTTTTTTGATAATATAATTATTTCAAAGATAATTTAGACATACTGAAATTGTGAAATTGCAATTTATATTATATGAACGAAAATTCTTCATTAATTCTAATTCCGATTGCTGTTGACTAATGATATTGTATATTAATATGAAATTATTTTCATTGAATGAATAATTGAGAATCATTTATCTTAAACGGTCAAAATATTCTTTAGTGGTAAACTCAAAATAATTTTTGATCACGATCTTGTATTCTTATTGGCCAATTTATTAATTTATTGAACAATTTCGATTAGTGAAAGTTTGTTGATAATGTAAATTAAAACTTGATGTTTTTGGTATTACCGAAAAAGAAATTGTTATTTTTGATGATTTTGTTACAACTTTAGGTAGCAAAGTTTGTGGGACATGGCGTGGATGAAAAGGGAGTTGTATAGTACTTGCATAACTTCTTATCCTTTTGTTTAATGTTTTGTATTTTCATACAAAAAAGACATTTTTAAAAAAAAAAAGGCATCGCGAAATTTTTGAATTTTGACCAATTAATTTTTGTGCAGCAGCTCGTGATTTTTATTTGTAGAACTTTTTTTTTGTATTTACAAAAATTATATTTATTTTTTAGACAGTATATAAAGTTTTGTTTTCTATGTTTTTTTCTATGGAAATGTAAATGAATTGTGAAAAATGCAAATTGAAAAAAAAAATACAAATGAATGTGAATCTATTTATAATGAATGTATGAATTGAATGTATTTATAATGAATGAATGATGAATGAATGTGAATTGAATGAAAATTTTTATATAATCATTTCCAATATATTATAATTAATATATTATATATATGTATATATTCCCTCTCGCCCAAAATAATTTGCATATGCACGTATATACACACACACATATTATAAAATCTATTATTTAATTGATGAAAGTTGCAGCTTGAGACCATAATTTACTTTGGTCTTTAATGCTTATATCGTCATAAAAAAGCTGATGATTACTTGGTCTGAATGCGTACTCGAGCACTTCATCTGGATTCTTGGCACTATAAGCTTCTCTAAAAGCAAATGTTAATAGGACATTTGTTGGAAATTCCTTTGGAGCATCTTGACGGTCTATCGCACCAGAATTGACCAAATCAGTTTTAAGATCACCTCCCCCGAATGGATTCTTCCAAAGGGTTACTTGTCCGCCAACAAACGACGCAAATGATAATTCTTTATTCAAAAACCCACCAACTGACACAGTAGTGACTTGATGTTTTTCAGCAAGTTGTGATGCCACTAATGCACAAGAAGAGCCACAGAACCCATTTGTTAAGATTGCTATATCTCCATTTTTCCATGGTAATTGTTGCGGTTCGCCAGAACTTGTAAGGAACATATTAATTGGAGTGATATCGTTATCAAGAAACTTTGACGTGAATTTCTGGTCACCAGTTCCCAAAAATTCATCGGCGTTGCTAAATGGTTTTTGAGTATCGGTCGAAATCCATATTCTAGAATCAAAAAATGAGTTTGGATTATCTTTGCTGGAAATTGTCTCGACAGTGGCTTTCATGATATCGGTAAGTCTCATATCTGTTGGCAATGAAGGATCAGATTCAGGGAATAAAAGTTTGTTGACGAAATGTGAAAAGACAATTAAACCACCTTGGTTATTTGACAAATCCAAAATAAGTTTCTTTGCACCTTTATTTGCAAGTTGGGTGAATCCGGTTTTGAGATCATTGAATATAGTGGCTACACTATCTGAGGGATTATCTAAATTTAAACTTGAAAGAGCAACCACACCAACAGTATCATCCAACATAAAGAATTGACCTAATTTGGTGCTGTGTACAAGGTTACCTTTACTAAGTTTAACTTCAGATTCTTCTAATAATAAGTGATTAGTGTTGAAGCCAAATGGATCAGCGTTGGTGGAGTGTTGGAAAGGTTTAAATGGTTTCGATTTTTTTGTATTAGATTTAGAATTGGCAGATAAAGGTGCAGGTGGTATGGTCGAATCAGGATTTGTGCAAATGTTTTTCCAATAAGATTTAGAATCGGTAAACCTGTCAAGATCGTCGTTACTATTGGCAACAGCTTCCCACTTACGTTTGACTATTTTGTTATTGTTTTTTTTACAACTCAAGGTATAGGTGTAAGTTTCTCTTTCAGGAACAATGAAACGAAGAGTAAATTGATTTGATGTTGGTTGAAGTTGATATTGATCATTTTGAAGTGAAAGTGATGTTAAGGCCAGATTGAAACGAACTCCGTGATCTTTTGATACAAAGACATTGTCACGTGCAAAGTCACTGATTGTTTTTAAGGCAGGAACTCCATTGATAGTTTTGACTTCACAATCATTATTTGATGGATCAACGATATCTTTAAGTACTTTGATTTTCTATATTATATAAATAAATGTTTTAATTAATAAAAGAATAAATATTAATAAACAAAAAAATGATGTATATAATTATTATTTACTTGTGTTCCATTGGTTACTACTGAATATAATAATAATTTTTGAGTGAATGTGAATCTTGTATAACAAATTGGGAAGAATAGTGTATGTGGATCTTTGAATTCGGTGACTAAATTAAGAGTGGCTTTCTATGTAAAATAAAATTATAAATTATTATTTATCATGAATTATATTATTATTTTGGAAAAAGGAAACAAATAAAAAAATAAAAATTTTACCGTAAATTTATAATCGTTAGAAAATTTCGTTGTTCTTAACTTTTCTAATTCTGCATCAAGATCAAGAGGATTAAAAGTGAAACCTTTAACGGGAGTTTGTTTGGCATGTTCTTTAAATACATAGAATCCATCAAGTACATTTTTTACTGTGTTAATTGTATCATTTCTTCTTTTTTCATCGAATTTAAAAGATTCATAACAAGTTTTTACATCAGCGTAAGAGAAAAATACGGAATCTTTCTTGGTAGAACCAATGAATTTTTTTTGAATGTTGGCACATCCATCTGCTAAATTTGTACGTTTTTGTTTTCTGGAGTATGATGATGATGATGATGATGATGATGATGATGATGATGGTGATGGTGATGGTGATGATTCGGATGATGGTTGGGTAGAATGTTCTGGCTTTATGATGGTTCTTTTTATTGGCAAATAAAAAGAATATATTCCTTCAGTTGCCAGCAATAAAAGGAGTGATATTAGTATGATGGAAGTGAGTGAGAATTGTTTCATGGTTTTTATAATATGATTTTTGGTATGTCTATGTGTGTATGCTTATGTCTATGTGTAAATATGCAAATGCAAAATGCAAAATGAAAAATGCAAAATGAAAAATGAAAAATGAAAAATGCAAAATGAAATGAAAAATGAAGAAAGAGTGTGTGAAAAAAAAAAAATGATTCTAGTTAATGCATCTATTTAAAAAAGGATATTTTGTAATTTTTATTTTGGTGAGGTAGGAAAAATACTAGAATAAAAATTTCGTAAAATGTGATTTTAAGACTATTTTATACAAAAAAAAAGGTTACATAATATTCTACTATAAAAATTTTTTTTTCGTTGTTAAAACCTTCTTTGTATATTATATATATATATTAGTATGAAAATCATCTTTAAAAAGATATGCAGGTTATGCATTTAATTTAACATAATCTTTGTTTTCCTTTTTTAAATAATATATTTGGAAATGAATTATTACGTGACTTACCAAATTTACAATTGAATTAATACACGTGACATAACTTAATTTTTATTATTACAGTTTTATTATAATGATTTATTATGATTTATTAGATTGCATATGCATATCTATCGAACATACATTCTTGGATACTATAACTTGATTGAGTTTCCTTTTTTGTACTACACCAACACAACGTATATTTGTCCGTCCGTACCTATGATATAATTTTTATTATATGGTGGAACATACTGTCCAGATAAACCAGGAAAATATGATGGAACACCCAGGAAAATATTCATTAAAATCATGCTTCACCAATCTATTTATACTTGATTGGGAAGACAGAGTGGGCGAACAAGTTTTTCAACAAATTGCTTGAACAACTTTGAGGGTTTCAAAATATTTGTGGTTCGGTTACTTTTAATCCACCCCTTGTTAAATAAACGAGATAGAAGTTTCCAAAATGTTTATTTGCTTCCTAAAGATGCAGTGCACAAACAACATGTAAAGACTATTCCCTGGAAGTGAGTTTCATCTCAAATTGACCCACATATTGTGTTCTCGTCGCGTCATAATAATAGTGAACGCTATATTGTATTGAAATAAATTGAACTCTAATTTTTATTGTTACTGCTACAAAAAAAAATTTTTTCATAAATCTTTCTTTGTAAACTTTTGTCTATCTAACGGTAATGATAAAAAAAATTTTTTTGATATGGAACATTTAGGGGATAACGAAATAATTTTAATTCTTTGTGTATTCGTGTATGCTGGTACTAAGATCGAAGAACGATGTCTTGGGCTACTTTCTTGAATGAATGCATCAGTAATAGCTATTGTGATCTTTGTAGGACCTGTAGATGAAACTTGAATACATAAAGTAGTGCTGAAACTTCCGGAGACATTGTATCACTAATTATATGATAAAAGTAAATACAAAGCACTTTCGAATGTATGTGAAAAACCTGGCCTCTCTGAATCAAATCGCCAACGTATTTTGCTTCAGCTTAGTCCAATGGATAATATGAAAATAGTATAAAGTAAAGAATGAGCAAAGATTGAAATCGTAGTATTAATGATATAAAAAATTATTTAATTATATGCAATAAAAATTAGTATTTATATTTGTATATTACACAAATAATAGACAAAAATTTTATATGCCTAAAGTAGTAATAAATTTATTGGCTTTAAATTAAATGATAAATTATTTTGATTATTTTGAATATTTTGAAAATTCAAAGTATACTTGTTTGACTTTTTATAAATTATCTATTATTTTTTAAACCTATCAAATAGAGGTGCTCATTTCGAATTAATATTAATTTATTTAAAAATTAAAATTAAAATTAAAAGAAAAATCCATAATAATAAATAAACTCCCGTGAAATAATTTTAATAAATTTTTATAATGAGTTTTCACTAAAGGTTATCATCATCTATAAATCTCAATCGAATTCAAAAAATAATAAAAAATTTTATTTGTTAATTAATTTTTATTTTCAAATATCATTGATTATCCCGTGTCTTCACCTACAAACTTATCTATCTGTTTCTTTTGAAAGTCTGTTGTCTGATGCTGCGATCAAGTTTTCTAGCATGTAACTTGAGATACCAAGCTTTTAGATTAGAGTATGATATTTTACTCCTTATGTTATTAATAATATTAAATAAGATTATACAACGAGTATAATAACAACTATTTCTCTACTACTTTTACTACTTAAGAGTACATTCCTTTATTAATTCGAACCGAACTCCAACTTCCCTCCAAAAAATCCATCTCTATTTATGCAGCACGGTCTTTTGTTGTAATGCGATGCAAATATGTCGACATATTATAAATTATAAAGATCTGCAAGAAAATGTTCTATTTCTGCCAAATAATGAAAGCAAATTTAGCTCACAATCTATTTATTGATCATATTCTTTTTTAGAAATCAAGCAATTTTATTTTTATAATTAGATAATATGATGCCAAGTCTCCAAAAAAAAAAAAAAAAACCACATGGTAGGCTTAATCTGATTGGTTGGTCAACAAATATGTTTTAACAAAATAATTTATTCAAAGTCGGATGATTTGGTTTTTTATTCAACTCACTATCTTGAAAAAAAAATATATTTGGGCGCATTTTTTCCTGGGGTATAAATTTTAAAAATAACTATTGAGTGTTAAGGAAGCATTGTCCAAAGGTTAATTTAAAATACTGGTAGTATTATTGTAATCGTAAACGTAAGGCTGTTAATCAAAATGAGTTGCAATCAGCCAATAAATATAAATGACTGAAATAAATAGTTTATAAAAACCCTCGGGCTTTGTAGAAGAACCATATTTATTTAGGCGCAAAAAAGAGTCAGTAATCGAGAACTAAAGTAAATTCGTAAACTAATTAATTGACAAGCACCGAATTACTTGCAATTAACTGACAAGAGGTCAAGCCATACTTGTTAAATAATCAGTATTAACCGAAATTATACTCACAATATCACATAATGAATAAATTTATAGTGGAGATTAAATTAGTATTCATAAATTCTATTATTAATAGAATCTGATGTTATTAATTAATAAAAAATATTGTTAGTAATTTCCAATTAATAATAATGAAATTTTTATTCACCTTGTTAACATTTTAGAGTTAAAATCATTGCTTGTAGAAATTTTAGATTTAGCAATCTCTTCATTTTAGGAAATTTGAATCATACAATCTTTATTAAATCCAAACTTTTATTTTTAGGAATTTCTTCATAGCGAAATCATAAAGCTTTCTACTAGTTGGTCTTTTTGATGGATTCATATCCAAACGCTTCTGCATCATTTGTGCATAATAATCAGGCATTCCAGGTGATGTTGGTGGTCGTAAACCTTCACATATATCAAATGATGATTGTGAGCCCTATCGTCAAATGGTGGGTGGCATGCAAATATTTCCCACATTAACATCCCAACACTATAAACTTCTTAAATTCAAGCCATTTATTAATGAAACAATTGTTCATGAAGTGATTGTTGACAAAATGAATCAAACCCACATTAAATGTTTTATTTTTAAATTCATGATTTCAATTGGTCAATCAATTAACAATTGCGTGGGTTAAAATTTTGTATAATAATAACGAACATGTGGCCGAATGTAGAAGGTTGAGTTCCGTGTGCTGAAATGACTTAGAGGAATTTCTCTACGAAAAAATAACAAAAAAAATTTTTTGGACGGCTGTCCTATTTATATGTTTCGAATTTAATAAAATAGACTATTGTCTTGGCCCGAGTGATGTTATTTTTTTTGCAGAAGACGCTATTCTCGCGTAGCACGGTATGTGTGTTTTGTGACACGAAAAGCTCACATTGCGTTCTCAGTTATAAGCTTGTTATCTTTATAATTAAATAACCCAATATACATATAATCCATTCATTCATTCAACATTAAAACAATTGAATAATTATCTATTTTTATAATTAATATGAATTTTATCTAGATTTTATTGAGAATCATGTTAATGAAGAATCAAATGCAAACTTTGAAAGTGAAACTGGGAATGTAATTGATATTGTGGATGATGACGCGAATAATAAGAAATACATTAAAAAAAAAGTTAAAGGAAATCAAAAGTCTGGGATTACTTTGAAGAAAAAGTAAACACTAAATCACATGAACACATCCCATATGTTTATCTTTGGCATTATTTTAAAAATCCCCAAAATCTCCACATTCTTTCACAAGTTAATATTTTTTGTTGCACACTAAAACTAGGATTATCCAAATCACGAAGATCATTGAGAAATCGAGTTTGCAAACTATTTTTGGATGGCAAATAACTTGAATAGATTCTAAGATGATGAACGTGACAAAGCAAAAGTCCATGTGCTGTATAAGTTAATTTTGTTGAATTGTAATTCTTAACAAGTATTCGTTCAGCTTGTCTATTTTTATTTAGGATGAATGGTAATTGAAATATAATTATTAGCAATATGATCAATATTACACCCACTTGCCCATATATGCTAATTGAGAGCCATACCGTAAAGATTCTCTCATTTGAGCATTTGTTCCCTGAAGTTTACCAACCCAATTATTTTTATTCCACCAAATTCTTTCCATCCAACTACACAATAAATAAACAACAAAAAGACTCGGACCAACTGCTAAAAAAGCAAAATTCAATTCATTTGATTTCAATAATTTATCTAAAGCTGCCATGGCTAATTCTAAATCCACTTTTGTTTTTTGTACTTGAATTAACAATGTTCTGATAAGGTTTCCTTTAATTTTAAAAAAAAATTTTTTAAGGAGATTAATATTATATTATTTGGGATTTTTTAATTTTTAATTTCTTCATTTACCTGTTATTGTAGATTTAAAAGGTTTCTATAATGTTAATATTAATCAATAAATATTAATTATTTGATAAAAAAGCATTTTCAATAATTATAATAAAATATCAATAATCATAGTACCTTTAGTTCTTGTTCATAAGCCATTAGAACAACTGATAAATCACCTTCTCGTATTTTATTTGATACCCCAATAAGATCTTCTGAACTTAATTGTAAATTGTCACGAGCAAAATCAAGTACCATACGTTCAAGTGACTTTTCATCATATATATTAAAAAATATTAATTACTGTTATTAATATGTATATATTCACAGATACAAATACAATATATATATATATACCTCTAAATCAGAATTTAAACTCTCTTTACCCATAAGTGCTAATCTATTTTCTCGATGTCTTATTGTGTCCATCATATGTACTATTGGATCCCATATCCAATCACCAAAAAAATTGATTGCTGTAATTTTTACATTATCAAATAATTTCATCAAATTATCCCTATAGATGTATTTTCTATTTTTATATGCAATAACAGACGAAATTGTGACTGGTAGCCACCATCTAGTCAGAAATGATGGATTACCATATATGGATGTGATTCGATTGCATTGTTTTACATAACTTGGAAGATGTGTTGTAATAATTGATTGTAATCGAGAAGAAAGATCATCAAGTCCTTGATTTTCTTTTTCTAAAGTATGCATTGACTTAACCTCTAATTTCAATTTTTCTATAATAATTAAATTACAAAATTAATACTTTTTTTAAAAAAAATTTATAATTTACTCATTTATCCAAACTAATGAATAATTTCACAAACCAAAATCAATATCTGGTATAATTCCATTCTCAACATCAAAATCATCATTATTAATTAAATGATTTAAAACTTTCTCAATTAGCATAACAAAGTTATTAACACGCTCAGCAATATTAGATTTGAAATTGCCACCAAGTTGATCTGCTGAATCAATTGGAAACTTGAAGTTCAATTCAGTAACTAGGAAACCGAGGCATTTTGCTTGATGCTTCATTAGTGATCTAAGTACGGATTTCTTATAATGAACTTCGTATCGAATTGCCAACGGAAAAGAAAATGATTGTGGGTCAGAGAAACGTGAGTGAGTGTATGTTGGAAACATGTTGATCATCGTGTGTCCAATTGAAAAATATTTTTTCAATTGATTATTAGCAGTGTTTATGTTAGCATTGTTATGAATATTTGGTTTATTACGTGTTATTATATATTTGTAGATTGCATTGGAAAAAAAATATGTACGTATTGGAATGGCTAAATAATAAAAATCAATCAATTTTAATCTATTATACAGTATGTGTATTTTATTACAGTACATTTATTTATAAATTTATAACACACTTAACTTTGGATTAGGTGATAAAAAGTCCAAAGTCTGCTTCCTTCCAATTCTTCCCAATAATAAATATCATCTAATAATGGTAAAGTAGCCATTAACAAATGTTCGACTACAATAGCATATACAACTATTGTAATTTTTGCAATAAATAAGCTTTCTAAATCATCATTTGCTTTATTATCCATCATCATCATCATATTATAATTAGTATTATTATTATTCCACTTCTCCTTATTCGACACTAGCATGTCCAATTGTTGTTGTATTTTTTTCAAACTTGGAATTTTTCCTTCTTCTAGTTGCATACTGTAAATTGATTTTTTTAAAAATTCAGAATATTCATTGTAAATTTCAACAGGATTTAAGTTATTACTTTTATCATTGTTTGTAGTATTTATAGATGGGGTAACAGTAGTTTTAATTTTTGTAGTTTCTGGTTTCTCTGGTTGTCTTATTTGTTTATATGATGCTTCGAAATTACTAAAAGGTGAAATACACAAAGCATCAAGATCTGCTTGTAATTCACGTACAAGCTCTTGAATAAATGACATTATTTTATTAGGAATAGTAATAATAGATCAAAATCAAATCAATCATCTTTTAGATCATCATTTCTAATTTTATCGAGTATTAATATTAATTTTCGAGGTGCACATGCCGCAATATGTCACAGGCAGATAAAATGCAAAATCGGGATTATTATTATTGTTTTATTCCTGCCTTCCATTTGATTAATGATTAAATAGAAGGTGTTAAAAGAACTGTCTTTAGATATCTATTTCAAAAGATCAAGAACCACTTTGTTGGTATTGTTAAAAATTGTTTCTTACATTATTTGATTAAATTAAGAATCTTCCAGAGAAGTTTAAGCCAAGTTCACTTCAAGAATTTGCAAACTAGTGTTTATTACCATTAGTGCCCCAAGCCAATGGGATGACTCTTTAAAAAGATTAGCTCTCAAGTCATGAATTACACATTATGGTTTAAATCGTATTCCACTTTTACCAGATGGTATATGGAAGAATTTTAAAGAAGGTGTGATTTCATCCTCGGCTTCTTCTTCTATATTAAAAATGAGGGTGTATCTTCAATTTCTTGTTCTTCTTCTTCTACCAACCTCTGGCTGGGAAAGCAATTCAGAGGATAAATAAATGGACCGGTACTGCTTACTAAGCATACAGTCAATTGTTCAACAGTTTATATAGAAAGGTAAAAATCATATCAATAGTGTAGATTAACAAGGCTGTGCTAGGTTTTAGATTAGAGGTTAATATTTTTATTTATTATAGCATAGGTTTAATATTAAATGACAATACAATGTTTCCCTACTACTTTTCTACTATCTATTTAAGAGCAGGCTCTTGTATCAATTCACAATTGAACTTGATTCCAAAAATCCTTATTTATGTGGCAAATTTTTTTTAACTAGCAATACTTTCAGAAGCAGCAATGCATTTCCATGTGATACAATGTTAATTATAATAATAGTATGTGTCAAAATAATATATGGGTGCTGCAACAAAACCAGACAAAGTGAATATTGGTATTACCAAGAATTTCAGAGATCAAAATTTAGTTCAATATGTCATATATAGAACTATCCCTACATAAAAATAGTTAATATGAAACTCATTTACATCAGATCTACTATGGAACCCAAAAATACAGCATCATTAGAAGTATTTTGAAAAATGATGAAATTCAGATCAAATGAAACATTTAACAATAGTTTATTATGGGTAAATCTTAAAATTTTGTTGTAGTTTTACTAGTATATGACCATTGTTAAATTTAGTATTTCTACCTGTGTATATTTTTTATATATACTGTAGCATACATGTTAAACCAATGTGGGCAAAAACTTTATTATACCCTGCTACCTAACTTCATTGTACAGTACAATGTACCCAATAATAAAAAATACAATGAACATTGAAATAAAAATCTTTGTTTTTTATTTCATTTGGTTTTAAGGGGATCTCTTGATTACAATTTTATTACAATGATGGGATTTCTGTCTGAATTGTCACTTTCTGTTGAGTAAATTTTGCATGTTGTGGTGAAGGTTTACAATGTGACACTGGCAATGAAAGGAAAAGGACAGATATATTTAATATTTACAATAAAAAAATACTGCAATTCTGGCTATTACCTTAAAAGAAACATTGATCTTATAATTTCTGATAGTTTGCACCAGGGTTGGCAAATTGACTGGTCCATTGAGAACAGATGGATTTTGGACTGATCCATTACCATTAATAAAATACTAAATATGGTTAAAGTGTTACAATAATGGACCCAATGGACCACCAATAGACCATCAATGGACCACACATTTGCCAACCCTGGTTTGCACAATTGACTGGTGCTAGTTGGTATTGCAAATTCATTGAATTTATCTACCAAATATAAACCACTAGCATAATGCATAGAGTAAAAGGAATAATTGTTTCCTATGAAAAGAGTGAAGAAATCTCATGTTTTAATGTTTTAATAAAAAATAGAATATACAATGGACTGTTACTTACTGTACACAAGAATTCCTAATGTTTCAGCACTGTTAAAATCATCAACCCTTTGTTCTCATAATGCCTGTCACAATTGGAAAAGCCCAAGTTGCATTGCTGTTGAGATTAAGACATACCAAAATTACCATAGTTTACTTGGTCAGAAAAAAGTAAGGGAAACCTCTACTTACAATTAAGGATTTTTTCTCTATCCTGCTTAAATATGGAAACCACAATTAGCTGCAATTCAATTTTCATATGCTGCAATTGCAACCATAATCCAATTTTTATATGCTGCAATTAGTTGCAACTAATTGAGGAGCCATCTTTAATCTCATACCATTCTTGCATCATTATACTTGCAGGCATTTCCCACAACCTTGCCAAATCCTATTTGAAATTCAATACTCTTCACCTTCATTACTAATAAAGCATCATGCTCCCAACCAATAACATGATGTATCCCCAGCAATCTATTCAAGTCCTTCTGAACTTTGTGTCTGGATTTTTCAATTTCACCCCTGGGTCAATGGTAAGACTTACATTAGTGGATTGCATTAAAGTTGTACAATCATTCATGATTTGAAATAATTTTTCTAGACTCACATTTTCATATGAATCACTTCATTTATGCATAGAAAAACATTTTCTATGAGAGGATTCACAATTTTATCTATACACATATTCTGATAAGTTGCCATCATGAAGTGGATTAATTTCAAGGCTGAAGTACAATGAACTACAGAATAAAACAAAAGTCAATATCATCAACTCAAGTATCAGAACAGAAAGAATTACCTACAATGCATTGTAAATAGATTGCATCCATTGTAATGACCATTCCTTAATAAAAATATAATAATAATCCCAATTGATGAGTGTACACTTGTTGAAAACACCAACAATTTTGCTCAAATTGACATTGTATCTGATTGCTGCCTTTTTGATGCATCACATATTTTTTTTAATAAATTATTTTGATATGTATCCATTCCTCAACCTAAAAAGAATTAGCATAAGTCCTTTGTCAAAGTTATTTTAACAAATATGTAGAAGATCACAAACTTTTTGAAATTCTGTTTTAAGTTTTAACCATTCCTCCTCTTTAAAAACTGGACTACTATCATTTTCTTCTGGCAAGAAGACAATCTTATATTGTGCAATTCCACCCACATTCACAAGTTTTTTAACAATTGGAATCTATAATAAGAATTTTTTCAATAATAAACCTTATCAATTAATAATATATGCATAAGATATCAGACCTCTGATGAAGCTATTTCTTCATCTTCCTCTTGGTGTTTATCATGCTTATCATTTTCCAAGAGGAATTTTCATTAAGGCTCTGAATGAATCAATGAAATTCGAATCAAATCAAATCACTTAGTTTTTGATTCATTTCATTCAAATCAAATTTGAACTGAATCCAAATTGTACCTTGATTTGATTTGATTTGATTTGAACTGATTTGAATATATAATTTGATTCAATTCAAATTGATTTGAATATATAATTCGATTTGAACTGATTTGATTTGATTCAAACTGACTGATTTGAATCTATAATAACAATACACTATATATAATAAATGAAAAATCTTTATTTAATGTATATTTTATAATTTTATTTACAAAAATATTTTTATTTTATATTTATTTATATAGTATAAATATTTTTACCTGGAGCAATAATTGCATCTTGCCTTTCCATCTATGGTTGTAAAATGATTCCATGCAATGCTTCTTGTT